ATGTCATGGTGGCCATCGATCCAGCGGGCTTCGTCCCCGGTGAGCGGAGAGGTCCTGGGAGGATGCTGCAAGTGCAGATAGGTGATGTGTTTAGGTGGGGGACGCATGTGCCCACCTGGCAGGGCACAGGGCAGGGGATCTCCATGGCAGACAGTGCCTTGGTTGGATTTGAACTCAACACATGTTCCTAGTGATGGTCCAGCCCTAATCACAGTGCAATACTGAGCATTTAGGGGTTTGGGGCTGCTTCGTAGAAAAAGTGAACTTTCAGGTGTGCAAAGAGAGAAGTTGGGGTGTGGAGTCACGGCGTGTCGAAGGTCACGCTCAAGTCAGTGTCAGTCCCTGGTCCGATCACAGTGACCAGAGATGGACCTCTCTTGCCCTGCCACTGCACAGCTCTGCCCCTGGGAGACAGCAGAGGATTTAAGCAGGGAGGTGCTGAGCACGCAAAGGAGACCAGATTCAATAAAACAGTCCAACTGGCAGGAGGGTGGGGTGTCTGTCTGGGATCGGGGTGCCATGCTACCAATGGCTCCTCCACACAGAGATACAGTCCTCCAACATGGTCAAGTGTCCTTCAGAGAGCCTGACTGCCCCTGTCCCCATGCAGGTGTCAGCGCAGGACTGTCTCTGCTGTCCCTCGCCTGGGCTTTGGTTTCCTACAACCGCTTCGCCTGCCTGCTGAAACCCGGTCACCTCTGCCCACCGGCCACGGCCATCCTCTGCCTGCTGCTCTGGAGGATGGGGATGCTGGGGACCAGGGTCCTGGCCCTGGTGCTCTTTGCCAGGCTGTATTCCTTCTGGGTTTTTGCTGTGGCAGGTAAGACCTGTGATCATCTTCTCATTGTCCCATCCTGCAGTCAGCCCTGGAGATGCTCCTGGTACTGGAGTGCTTTGCAGCCTCCCTCCTGGCTTTGCCCTTTCGGTCCCTTCCTCTTCAAGGCATCCACTGGCTGCTCATGTCCTTCTGGCTGGTAGCCCAGCAGACGGATATCGTGGCCCAGCCCTGCTGCTGGAGGCTGTTCAATTGCCTGGTGGGAGCCGTGTACATCTTCTGCTACGTTAATGTCCAGCCTGGTCCCTCCAAGCACAGAGTGGCCGTGTTTTATGCAGTAAGTACCCAGGATAATCAATATTTCATATAGATGCAGCTGCTGGGGAGCAGCAATAGCCTCAGACTCTCCATTCTCATCTCTCACATCACTACTTGATAAAAATCCAGCATTTCCCACCACAGCTGTGCGGTGTGGTTGACACGCTGGAGGGAAGGGATGCCATCCAGAGCGACCTTGACAGGCTGGAGAGATGGGCCTGTGAGAACCTAATGAAATTCAACAAGGCCAAGTGCAAGGTCCTGCATGTGGGTCGGGGCAATGCCAAACACAAGTACAGGCTGGGCGGAGAATGGATTGAGAGCAGCCCTGAGGAGAAGGACTTAGGGGTGTTGGTTGATGAGAAGCTCACCATGAGCTGGCAATGTGCGCTGGCAGCCCAGAAAGCCAACTGTGTGCTGGGCTGCATCCAAAGCAGCATGGGCAGCAGGTCAAGGGAGGTGGTTCTGCCCCTCTACTCTGCTCTCATAAGACCCCCCTTGCAGTGCTGCGTTCAGATCTGGGGTCCCCAACATAAGAAGGACATGGAGCTGTTGGAGCAGGTCCAGAGGAGGCCATGAAGATGATCCAAGGGCTGGAGCACCTCTGCTATGGAAACAGGCTGAGAGAGTGGAGGTTGTTCAGCCTGGAGAAGAGAAGGCTCCAGGGAGACCTTCTAGCAGCCTTCCTAAAGGGGCTACAAGAAAGCTGGAGAGGGACTTCTGACAAGGGCCTGTAGTGACAGGACAAGGGGCAATGGCTTTAAACTGAAAGAGGGGAAATTTCAATTAGATTTAAGGAAGAAATTTTTTGCAATGAGGGTGGTTAAACACTGGAAGAGGTTGCCCAGAGAAGTTGTGGCTGCCCCATCCCTGGAAGTGTTCAAGGCCAGATTGGATGAGGCTTTGGGCAACCTGTTGTAGTGGAAGGGGTAGAGGACCATGGCAGGGGGTTTGGAACTAGATGATCTTTGAGGTGTCTTCCAACCCATTCTATGATTCTATGATATCCTGACAAATCCACTTGGTCACCAAGGTGGATGGACCTTCTGGCTTTGTTTTCTTAGCAGCGGCCATACAATGTCTTAAGAACACCAGAGCAGCTGTGCTGCTCTGCCAGAGTTATTTTTCATGGTAAAAAAAAAAAAGGCAAGACCTTGCAGAAAGTTCAGTTCAGCAACCCTTATGTTTTAAGTGATAAGTTAAGTGCAAAATAAAATCAGCAAAATTTAGCAACTCTGTGTTTCTGTGTCATTGGAAGCATGCACCTCTAAAGCCATCAGAAGGATAAAAGTGACTTCTCTTCCCTCTGCTCTGCAGATAATTCTGATGGAAAATGCCCTCCTGCTGCTGCTGGCTACCCAGAACAGCCTGTGCGTGACCGGGGCCATCATGTCAGGGTCTGTAATAGGTAAGATCTGTTGGTTTTCAGAGCCTGAGTAGCATGTTTTGAAAGTAAATGAGCATCATCAGTTATTTTTAATGCATCAGACTAGTTGCTTTATTTCTTCCAGCTTGAGCGTCTGAATGTATTTGGTAATATGTGAATCCACCTTGAGTTTGATTTCTTCTTCGTTGCTTAAAAGGCCATCCCTGAAGAGGGAGGCTTGCAGAAATGATCAAGGTGTCACCACATAGCTCAGCTTCCACCACTGAATACAATATATGCAATCCTGCAGCACATCTGTTTGGGCTTTCTGTGGTCTTGGCACTTGGTGATCTGTGCAGGCAGTGGCAGAACACAGGGGATCGTTGCAAAGAAACGTTTTCCATTTGAGCATGTGCTGATGATTTATGAAGGTTGCTTGTGATTGATGAGCCATCACTGGGTATGTTTCAGAAATGTGCTGGGGTGGGACCACGCAGAACTACAGCAGCTTTCTCCCATCCTGTTTTCTTTCAAAGACCAGCACTACTTCTGTAAATGGAAAAGCTTTTTGTGTTCGTGAGGAGGATTTTTTGGTATGTGATGGAGAAGGTACCCCATACCTTGCCCGTACCCTGCCTTACTCCATACTCTGCCCATCAAGCAGGCAGCAGCTCCGGCTGGCTGGTGCATTTAATTCCCTAAAGCTTTAATGCACAACCCAGCTGGAAGAGGGGAGAGGTTGTATGATGCTTGCAAACAACTCCACCAGCACCTCAATTTCCAAAACTGGCACTGGGCAAGGATGGGAGTTGCTGTTTGCTGGGTCCCACCAGGCTCATGTTTTCCCAGCAGGATCATAGAATCATAGAACGGTTTGGATTGGAAGGGACCTTCAAGATCATCTAGTTCCAACTCCCCTGCCATGGGCAGGGACACCTGTCACTAGACCAGGTTGCCCAAAGCTTCATCCAACCTGGCCTTGAACACCTCCAGGGATGGGGCAGCCACAACTTCTCTGGGCAACCTGTGCCAGTGTTTCACCACCCTCATGGTAAAAAATTTCTTCCTTAGATCTAATTGAAATCTCCCCTCTTTCAGTTTAAAGCCATTGCTCCTTGTCTTATCACTACATGTCCTTGTAAAATGCCCCTCTCCAACTGGATGGAGGATGGAGGCAGAGGGAAGCTGTAACACGTGGGTACTGGGCTTTGTGCATCTCCCCGTGCCAGCTGCACAGAGATCAACCATGTTCAAGCAAGAGCATGTTTGGGCTGGAAAAGGAGCAATTCCTCTGGCCTTGAAAAGGTTTAGGATAGAAGTAGGAAAGTGTCTGAAAATCCTGCTGCATTTAATGGCTAGAGGACCGGGGTGCTGCGAGACGGGAAGGATTCCTGCATCACACTCCTCATCCCTGCCCCGTGCCCTGTTCGCTGGCGCTCAGCATCCATCTCTTTCTGCACCTCCCAGTCTGCAAATCAATCCAGATTATTAGTAAATTCAGTCTTGAGACTGTACTCAGCACTCCCTTTCCCAAAAACTGCTCTAGTGGGATTTTTGCATCCCTAAAAATACTCGAAAGACGTGCTGCTCGGACATCTGATGCCCAGCAGCATCTCTGCAGAAAGCTTGTTGATCTGGAGGTGGCAGCGTGGTCTGGTCTGTCCTCCACACCTCACCGAAACACTGCTGGAGACTCGTCCCTTGACGCCTTTCTGCTCTTTTTCCAGGTGCTGTAGCTCTGATGGTTTATTACAGCCTGCTCCATCCCAAGTCCACTGAGATTTGGCAGGGCTTCCTGGAGACAACCTGCCGTGCTGCAGCTGCCAGGGATGACAAGGTTACTGGAGACGGCTCCCGAGCGGGACAGAATTTGGGAATTTCAGGAGACAGAGAGTCCTTGCCAGGAGATGAGACGGCAGGAGATGAGACCACAGGAGATCCCAAAAATGGGAACAGCTCATCGCTCCTGCAATCTGGAGGACGTTCGGAAGACAGCTGGACAAACCATCACCACTGGCTGCTGGTAAAGCTGGCCTTGAAGACAGGAGATATGTCCGTGATCAACGCAGCTTTTGGAGATGGTGGTATGGGAGAGGTTTACCCTAGAGGATGGGTGATGGGGAAACCCGCTGGTGTTGAGCCTGGGGCAATCCTTTCCCTCCCCACAAAGGAAATGGGTCCTCAGGGTGTTGAATCTGATCTGACTGATGAGAAATTGCAGGCGGTGGGGAACGGAGGAGGTGGCAAGCCCAGCGCCGGTGCTACAGGAATGGCACAGGAGGACGGAGTGGGGCAGGAGCCTGGTTTTCACCCAGCCGTATCCTTTCCCAGCACCTTCTCCCCGGATCCAGCCAAGGGCTCCTCTATATATTTCAGCGCGAGCGCAGGAGGCATCACCTTTCCCAGCGTGGGGACAACCACAGCTACCTGCGTGGCCCTAGTGCAAAGGGACAGCGAAGTCCAGTCTCCTCCGGGCTGCCTGGGAGTAGAAGGATGGGATTTATCCCTTGGGATGGCAAACATCAGCCCAATCCTGGGCACTTGTGCCCACAAGCACCTGCGGAGCAGCTCTTCCCATGGCAGCACAGGCGGCTGCGGGGTGGTGAGTCCCCTCAAAGAGGGCTCGGAGCCCCTGGGGCTGGAGGGTGCCCTCATGGGGTGGCATCACCTCCGGGACACCCACCCTTGTGGAACACAAGACACTGTTGTGGGGAGCAAGCTGAGGCCACCATGCTTCACCTCCACCCCCAAGGCTGACTCTAAATGCCCGCAGTGAGGACTGGGGGACCTGGGAGAGGGGACGGAGCTGTCTGGGTTGCTGGAGTGACCCCAAAATCACTGCACTGTCACCTTGGGTCAATGTTGGAGTGACTGCCTCGACAGTAAGATACGGCAGGAGGTAGTGATATGTTAATGCTGGCCATGAAGACTGTCCCCATGGTGCCCCTGCTGTGGGGCAAATGTGGTCCTCCATCGCCAGGACATCACCTTCCCTCCTGGTGTATCTTCTGCTTGCAGTTTTGGAGAGCCTCAAGGGTCTTAAAAAGCCTTAAAAGTCCAGATTTAGGTATTTATTAAAATTATTTGTGTAGCAGTACTGCTAGGCAGCTGGAGCACACTGCCTTTGATATATTTTACAAGGGAATGTAGTGATAGGACAAGGAGCAATGGTTTTAAACTGAAAGAGGGGAGATTTAGATTGGATATTATGAAGAAATTTTTCACTCTGAGGGTGGTGAGGCCCTGGAACAGGTTGCCCAGAAAAGTTGTAGATGCCCCATCCCTGGAAGTGTTCAAGGCCACGTTGGATGAGGCTTTGGGCAACGTGGTGTAGTGGAGGGTTTCTCTGCCCATGGCAGAGGGTTGGAACTAGATGATCTTTGAGGTCCCTTCCAACTCAAACCATTCTATGATTCTATGATTCTATGATTCTATTTGTGACCATATCTTGAAGTGTGTCCTTTAACAAGTGCCTATACGAGCTGCTGGTCTGTCCCAGCATGGAGATCTGGCTGCTGTCTCCAGGGGCTGACCAAAGCAGGAGTCTTCTCAGGATAAGTAAGTGCCTAAACCAGAAAAATAATGAGTTTTACTCTCAGACGCCCTTCCTTCTGGGCAGAGTAAGCCCTAAAGTAACGCTCAGCAGCGCTTGATTTATTTTTCCCCCACAAGGTTCATCTTGGGAGCTTTACCAGCTCCATTTGCTGAGGTCACATAGGGGCCCAGACCCACTTCATACTGCAGACCACAACCTCAGGACCTTGAATCATAGGCAAAAGCCATGCCCTGCTTGCTTGCCTACTGTCCTGCTCCAAGGCACCTTGTCTGCCCAGCCTCTTCCTTGCCCCCTTCCACCCAGATGCAGATAATCCAGACCTGGCTGGATGTTCCCTCCTAAATTCAACCTCAACACCAATCTCAAAACAGATCTACCTACTCAAAAGTAGCGTGGCCAGCAGGTCGAGGGAGGGGATTCTGCCAGGATTATGCCCCTCTACTCTGCTCTCGTGAGACCCCCGCTACAGTGCTGCATTCAGCTCTGGGATCCCCAACATCAGAAGGACGTGGAGCTGTTGGAGTGGATCCAGAGGAGGCCACAAAGATGATCTGAGGGCTGGAGCACCTCTGCTATGAAGACAGGCTGAGAGAGTTGGGGCTGTTCAGCCTGGAGAAGAGAAGGCTCCAGGGAGACCTCTTAGCAGCCTTCCAGTACCTAAAGGGGCTACAAGAAAGCTGGAAAGGGACTTTTGACAAGGGCGTGTAGTGATAGGAGAAGGGGCAATGGCTTTAAACTAAAAAAGAGTAGATTTAGAGTAGATCTAAGGAAGACATTCTTTCCTCTGAAGGTGGTGAGGCACTGGAAGAGGTTGCCCAGAAAAGTTGTGGCTGCCCCATCCCTGGAAGTGTTCAAGGCCAGGTTGGATGAGGC